TGTTCAAATGTCACGATACAAATGAAGGCATAAATTCAGAAAGCAAGTGATACGTTCCAAGTAAAGAAGTAAACAAAAGTTAGTATACAAAGTCCACAGGAGTATGAAAATGAGTAGGCATATAACAGGGGGAACATTGTAGTAGATAACAGATGAAAACAGGAGACGATAAAAGGGATGGGGGCACAGAAAAGAAAGACAGAAAATATACAACAAAGAACGACGAAATGACTGAAGCAATAATGAGAGTATGTGGGACGGAAAGCATCCACAGAGACAAGAAAACGCGAAAAGGGAAAAACAAACAACAGAAATCATACGTACTTAAATATCAAGTGAAAGAGGTCGGGAAGAAAGTAAAGGTGAAACTGCTAAATATGAGACATACCGAAACATGCTGTTTAACATGCTATGCAAGAACGGACACTATACTAAAAGATGTATCCAAAACAGACAGAACGGAGTGAAAGTGAAATATGCAAGACTAAGGGAGTACAAAAACGGATTGGGAGAAAAAGAAGCCTTGAAGGAAAGGAAATTACAGAGAACGGTGTGAATTAAGAAAGGGTTTAGCACCCTCAGCAGCACCAGAGTCACCAGTAACCTCGACAGGCTCGACTGCGTCTACCTGGGACACACCTGAAGGGGCAGGACCCTGAGGGGGGAGGGGGTCTACCGGGGGGGGACCTGGCACAAGGAAGAGCGGTGGCGGGGGGAGGGACGGAGTGCGGTAGGGGAAGAGGCGGTAGTAGGGGACCGACTCGTCAAACGTGACGTCCTGGGAGGACAGAACACGGCGAGAGGTGGGGTGGTAGAACTGCCACCCTGGCGCGTCAGGGGGGAAGCCAAGGAAGACGCAAGGAGCAGCACGAGGGGACAGCTTGTCCGCAGACAAGTCGCGGACAAACGCCCGAGATCCCCAGACACGGAACGCAGACGCATCGCCAACCTTCCCCGTCCACAGCAAGGCTGGGGAGGTCTCCGGCATGGAGACCCTGGGGTGAAGGTTGATCTGATGCGCCGCGTACCGAACAGCAAACGGCCACAGAAAATGGGGGGCAGCCGCATGCATCATGGACGTACGGGCGACGTCCATGACCATGCCAATGCGGCGCTCAGCAATCCCATTTTGCTGTGGAGAGTCCGGAAGCGTGAAGGTCTGGCGGATGCCTCGTGCACGACAGTAGGCTCGCAGAAGGCCAGAGGAGAACTCTCCACCTCGGTCAGAGTGCAGACGCAGAACAGGAAAGTCCGAGCCAAAGCTCTGCCTGAGCTGGAGACGAGCTGCGCGGATCCAGTCGATCAACACCTCAGTGACATCACCCTTGCTGCGCAAGGGGAAGACTGTGGTGTAACGCGAGTAGTCGTCAACCACCAGCAGGAAGTAGCGCTCGTGACCCTGTCCACGGACGCGGGCCGGGCCCCACACGTCCATGTGAAGCGTCTGCAGCGGGGCCTCTGTCGGAGGAAACTGGGAGGAGTGAGGGGCAGCCCGCTGCCGCCCCTCGACACAGGGGACGCAGGTAGGGCCAGGCCCCGGAGGAAGGGGAGGGAGGGACCGGGGAAGACCAGAGACAAGGACACGGGAGGCCATGCCTCGGAGACAAAGCAGGGAGGGGTGACCAAGGCGGTGGTGCCAGAGGAGAGTCTCGTGAGACAGGAGGCGACACGAACAGGGGGCAGACTCAGGACCAGACCTGGACGCTGCAGCAAACACCTGACCTGACGCAGCTACCTGACCAGACGCAGTGACCGGAAGAGACGCAGTGGTCAGTGTGTACAGGCTCGACCCCGGCCGACGTGTAAACGTGGCCAGGTGTCGGCCTGTCCGAGCGTCCGTGCAGTGGGCCACCCGCTGACTCGCAGGAGTGAACTGGTGAACCCCCGCATCCTGTAGGTCAGCACCACTCACCAAGTTCGTAGAGAACGAGGGGAGGTAAAGACCAGACAGGGTGCCAGAGGGGGTCGCCGGACACGGGAGGACAGTGGAGAAGTGAGCAAGGACAGGACCCCCAGAGGGGTCTGCCAGAGAGACTGCAACTGGCCGGCCAAGCGGCGTGAGTGTGGTGTGGTCTCGAAAGAAGGAGCGAGAAGCCCCCGAGTCAAGGGTGAAGGTGTGGGAGGCCGAAGCCGACGCAGAACCTGAGAGAGCAGACTCACCAGCACCTGAGGGAGCAGACGCACCTAGAGCAGCAGCCTCGCTAGCACCTAGAGCAGCAGCCTCACCAGTACCTAGAGCAGCAGTCTCAATGCCCGGGTCGGGCGGAAAACACCGGTAACAGTCACCCTCATCACTAATAGTCACAGTATACATGGCAGCAAGAATAGCATCAAAGTCAAGGTCAAAGACAGCTACACCCGCCCTAGACAGCTCACCCCAGCGGAGGACGTAGGTGCACGGACCAGTACCCCAACCCCTCTGGCGTGCAGTGTACCACTCACGGAGCTGCTGAGGGGAGGGGATGTCACGAGTGCGCTGCTGCTGCTGCTGCTGCTGCTGCTGCTACTGGCGCTGACCACCACCGGAGCCGACCCTCTGTGCAGCGCCACCCCGACCAGCTCCACCTCCTCCGCCGCCTCCTCCTCCACCGCCGCCACCTCCGGTCCCACCGCCACCGCCGCCTCCGCCTCCACTGCCGCCACCGACACCTCCACCCCCGCCACCACCCCCACCGCCACCCCCACCCCCTCCACCACCTCCACCTCCGCCTCCACCGCCCCCGCTGGCTCCTCCAGTGCCCCTGCCCCCCTTGCCCTTGCCAGGGCGACGTCTCCCGCTAGGGGTAGACGCCGCACCGACCGACTCAAGCCCAACGAGGTCGGCCGCAGCAGCAGAGGCAACAGAGGGCAAAAGGGGGGAGGGGGAACACCCCTCAAAGATGGGGGTGCGAGGGTCACCACGAGAGGCTCCTACAGCGACTATGCTCTTCTCTGCTGCTAGGAGGGACTTCTCGAGGAGGTCAACGGTGAGAGTGGTGGGGCAAACTGAGAGGAAGTGGTCCCTGACTACGCGAAGGGAGTCAGGGAGCCGGGTGACTACGTAGTAGAGGGTGATGTACATGGGGGGGGGGTTCTTGGCGCAGAACTCAGCAGGAAGCGCAGCGCGGTAGCGAGTGTCACTAGTGCGGAGGTGCGTAATGAGGTCAGCGACTGTGGGAAAGGCAGCAAGGTCAGGGAAGAGGTACGGTAGCATGAGGCGGCTCAGTGCAGCAGTGGCAGGGGAGGAGTAGCGTGCAACTACAGCGTCGTACAAGGTCTGAGCACTCTTGTACTGGCTAAAGTGCGCACGCTCAGAGGTAGGCAGGTGGCGACGCACAGCAAGACGTGCAGCGGCATCGCGCGTGGCCCACTGTGAGCGAACAGTGGCGTCAGCATCAGCAGCGGGGGCAGGAGAGGCACCAGAAGTGAGGTCAAAGAGGGAGAGGCCGTCTGCCCTATCGCACTGTAAGAAAAGCTGCAGGTCATCTATCCAGACTTCAAAGTCAATGGCCCGACCCTCAGCGTCAAAAGCGAGGACACTAGGGGTAGCCATGACAGCAGTAGACTAGTAGCGCAAACAGTAGGGTGAGGGCAGTGCTGTAAGAGAGGCGCTGCTCTTACCGGACAGGGCGGCTCGGGCGGCTCGGCTGCAGGGCGGCTCGGCGACTCGGCGGCTGGGCGGCTCGGCTGCAGGGCGGCTCGGCGACTCGGCTGCTGGGCTGCTCGGCGGCTGGGCGGCTCGGCTGCTGGGCGGCTCGGCTGCTGGGCGGCTCGGCTGCTGGGCGGCTCGGCTGCTGGGCGGCTCGGGTGGCTCGGCGGCAGGGCGGCTCGGCGGCTCGGGTGGCTCGGCAGCAGGGCGGCTCGGCGGCCCGGCGGCTCGGCTGCTGGGCGGTTCGGCGGCCCGGCGGCTCGGTCGCTGGGCGGCTTGGCGGCTGCGGCTCCTGATCAGGGACGGCGGAGGGGCCGGTGGGAGGCGGCGTCGGAGCCGGGAAGGGGCCGCGTCAGGGGCCGCGTCAGGGGCCGCGTCAGGGGCGGCGTAGGGGCCGCGGCAGGGGCGGCGAAGGGGCCGCGTCAGGGGCCACGTCAGGGGCCGCGGCAGGGGCCGGGGCAGGGGCCGCGTCAGGGGCCGCGTCAGGGGCCGCGTCAGGGGCCGCGTCAGGGGCCGCGTCGGGGGCGGCGTTGGGGCCGCGTCAGGGGCCGCGTCAGGGGCCTCGTCAGGGGCGGCGTCAGGGGCGGCGTAGGGGCCGCGGTAGTGGCGGCGGAGGGGCCGCGTCAGGGGCCGCGTCAGGGGCCACCTCAGGGGCAGCGTAGGGGCCGCGTAGGGGCCGCGTCAGGGGCCGCGGCAGGGGCCGCGTCAGGGGCTGCGTAGGGGCCGCGTCAGGGGCCGCGTTGGGGCCGCGTCAGGGGCCGCGTTGGGGCCGCGTCAGGGGCCGCGTAGGGGCCGCGTCAGGGGCCGCGTTGGGGCCACGTCAGAGGCCGCGTAGGGGCCGCGTCAGGGGCGACGTAGGGGCCGGGTAGGGGCCGCGTAGGGGCTGCGTAGGGGCCACGTAGGGGTCGCGTAGGGGCCGCTAACGGGGGCCGCTAAAAATAAAATTTAGGGTAGGGGCGCAATGCGCGTCGGGCAGCTAAAAAAAAAATCGTTATGGTGGGCCCTTAGGAAGGAACGGTCCCATGTAGGAACCCGCTCTATACCATGTGAATTAAGAAAACAGGAATGAAAATGACTAAGTGAAAGTTGGGTACAAAAGGCAAACCCTAGAATTGCAAACCTACGACGACTACGTCGCCTCTTGTTTTTTTTTTTTTTTTTTTTTTTTTTCGCCAAACCCAGCATGCCCTGGTCTTTCGCCCTGGGGGTTGGTTGAGTCCCCAAAAGTCCCAGATTGCAGGCGCGCTTCTTTTCAAAGCTTGCAAACACTACTTCGTCAAGTCTTAAAGCCCGAGGTCAGCATGGCTTTTGGCAAAATGACTGAAGGGTTTTAAACGTGTTGGCGAAAAGCAAAAAAGTTCATTTCGGGAATATGGGCGGGGCGAAAGCGAGATCACGCTGCGAGGAGATTGGGAAGTCGTCACTCAACATCGCTATGAGTGTACGACAAACCAACCCAACTAACCAACCAAACGAGTAAGCCAACCTCACCACACCAGTCTTGTGTTAGATAGTAGTCAAAAAACATCCCGACAGCGCATCGTAGCATGGTAAAATACGCAGAATAAGAACTTCACCCGCGCATAAGTTGTTGTGCCTCGCCTCTCGTCGTTGCGTCTCCCCTCGCCGCGCCCCCTGTCCCATTCACGCCCCCTCGTTTCTGGGAGCCTCCCCTCGTCGCGGCTCCGCTCGCCTCGCCGCGCCTCCGCTCGCCTCGTCGCGGCTCCGCTCGCCTCGCCGCGCCTCCTCTCGCCTCGCCGCGCCTTCGCTCGCCTCGCCGCGCCTCCGCTCGCCTCGCCGCGCCTCCGCTCGCCTCGCCGCGCCTCCGCTCGCCTCGCCGCGCCTCCGCTCGCCTCGCCGCGCCTCCGCTCGCCTCGCCGCGCCACCGCTCGCCTCGCCGCGCCTCCGCGGGCCTCGCCGTGCCTCCGCTCGCCTCGCCGCGCCTCCGCTCACCTCGCCGCGCTGCCATCAGCGCGCCAACACCCTCCTCGCGCCTCCACTCTCGCTGCCCTTCTCCCACCTGCCCATCCCTTGCCCTCGCTTCCCTGCCTTTCCATTCCCTCTTGTTACCTTCCCCTCTATTCCCTCTGCTTCCCCTCATTCCCCGTCTGCTTCCCCTCATTCCCCCCTCTTCTTCCCTCATTTACTCCCCTGCTTCCTCTCGTTTTCCCCCCTGCTTCCCCTATTCCAGCCCCCTGATTTTCCTATTTTTAACCTCCTCCTTCCCCTAATTTCTCCTTTTGCTTTCCCTCATGTCCGCCTCTGCTTCCCCTAATTTCTCCTTTTGCTTCCCCTCATGTCCGCCTCTTCTTCCCCTAATTTCTCCTTTTGCTTTCCCTCATGTCCGCCTCTTCTTCCCCTAATTTCTCCTTTTGCTTTCCCTCATCTCCGCCTCTTCTTCCCCTAATTTCTCCGTTTGCTTCCCCTCATGTCCGCCTCTGCTTCCCCGCATTTACCCCGCTGCTTCCCCTCGTTTCCCTCTTGGCTTCCCCTCATTCCCCCCTCCGCTTCTCCTCATTCCCCCCTCCGCTTCTCCTCATTCCCCCCTCCGCTTCTCCTCATCCCCCCCTCCGCCTCTCCCCATTCCCCCCTCCGCTTCTCCTCATCCCCCCCTCCGCCTCTCCCATTCCCCCCTCCGCTTCTCCTCATTCCCCCCTCCGCTTCTCCTCATTCCCCCCTCCGCTTCTCCTCATTCCCCCCTCCGCTTCTCCTCATTCCCCCCTCCGCCTCTCCCCATTCCCCCCTCCGCTTCTCCTCATTCCCCCCTCCGCTTCTCCTCATTCCCCCCTCCGCTTCTCCTCATTCCCCCCTCCGCTTCTCCTCATTCCCCCCTCCGCCTCTCCTCATTCCCCCCTCCGCCTCTCCTCATTTCCCCCTCCACTTCTCATTCCCCCCTCCGCTTCTCCTCATCCCCCCCTCCGCCTCTCCTCATTCCCCCCTCCGCTTCTCCTCATTCCCCCCCTCCGCTTCTCCTCATTCCCCCCTCCTCCTCTCCTCATTCCCCCCTCCGCCTCTCCTCATTCCCCCCTCCGCCTCTCCTCATTCCCCCCTCCGCCTCTCCTCATTCCCCCCTCCGCCTCTCCTCATTCCCCCTCCGCCTCTCCTCATTCCCCCCTCCGCCTCTCCTCATTCCCCCCTCCGCCTCTCCTCATTCCCCCCTCCGCCTCTCCTCATTCCCCCCTCCGCCTCTCCTCATTCCCCCCTCCGCTTCTCCTCATTCCCCCCTCCGCCTCTCCTCATTCCCCCCTCCGCCTCTCCTCTTTCCCCCCTCCGCCTGTCCTCATTCCCCCCTCCGCCTCTCCTCATTCCCCCCTCCGCCTCTCCTCATTCCCCCCTCCGCCTCTCCTCATTCCCCCCTCCGCCTCTCCTCATTCCCCCCTCCGCTTCTCCTCATTCCCCCCTCCGCTTCTCCTCATTCCCCCCTCCGTCTCTCCTCATTCCCCCCTCCGCCTCTCCTCATTCCCCCCTCCGCTTCTCCTCATTCCCCCCTCCGTTTCTCCTCATTCGTCCCTCCGCTTCTCCTCATTCCCCCCTCCGCTTCTCCTCATTCCCCCCTGTGCCCATCAGGCAGTGGACGAGGCATGCCGCTTGCTGTGCCAGTCATACCATAATTGTCTGCCCCTCACCCTCACCCTCTGCCCGCTGTGCCCCCTCTGTCCCCTCGGCCTCCCCATGCCTCACCATGCCTCACCATGCCTCACCATGCCTCACCATGCCTCACCATGCCTCACCATGCCTCTCCACTCCTCCCCATGCCTCCCCACTCCTCCCCATACCTCCCCATGCCTCCCCACTCCTCCCCATGCCTCCCCACTCCTCCCCATGCCTCCCCACTCCTCTCCATGCCTCCCTGTGCCTCCCCATGCCTCCCCATGCCTCCCCATGCCTTCCTCCGTGCAACCCCTGCACCGCCTGCATCCCCTCTTGCCCCCATCAGGTGGTGGACGAGGCGGACCGGCTGCTGCGCCAGTTCTACCACGACTGGCTGCCGCTCACCCTCGCCGCCGTCGCCGCTGCCCCTTCCGGTGCCACTGCTGCCATGTCAGCAGTCGCCAGCATGCATGCTGACGTGGCAGTGAGCGTGCCGGTTCTGTGCGGCGTCATGCACATACATGGCAGTGGCAGCGTGAGCGGTGTTCTCCACGGCCTGCAATCTCTGTGGGCCCTCAACGGTCAACTCATGCTGCTGTGTTACTTACACACCTATATACATTCTTTGTGCTCACTTCATCTCTTATTACAGTATTCGTGAGAATCCTCGTCTGTTACCTCAGAAGTTCTGCACTCACAAGACTGCCAATTGCATAATCAGAAACAACAGCAGCAACCACAATAGGGCCGGTATTTATATGTTGCATCACGAAGAAGAGGTCGGGTCAACACTGAGATATGGGCATACACAATACACCCCTTATACCACTATCATCACAAGTAGACCCTTGTACCTATAAACCTCCAGCGCATAAAATAGCACGATCCACAAGTCGATCCCTACGGCCAGATAACCCTGGCTTCTACAGGTATCTAGGGAAGCATCTCTCACAACCGCTAGAGTGCCCTAAGAGTGCCTCTGGCGTGCTGGCAGGGGCATGAGTTGGCACTCCCCTAAGCTTAGCGGGGGTTGACTTGCCAAAGAATGGCGTTATCAGTGATTATCACGTCAAACCGCTCCTCCAACACACTTCGCGCCACGTGCACCTTCCGCCACACCTGCACGCGGAAAGGAAGGAAAGGATTTGAGGTGGTAAGGTGGGCAGGCGATACTTGGGCAGGCGGTGAGGTGGGCGAGGATGAAGGAAGCAGAACAAAGGGTGGGTGGGAAGACGCAAGGGCAGAGGGTGGGGGGCGGCAGGGCAGAGAATGAAGGGAAGGCAGGGCAGGGGATGGGGGGAAGCAGGGAAGGGGATGGGGGGAAGCAGGGAAGGGGATGGGGGGAAGCAGGGAAGGGGATGGGGGGAAGCAGGGAAGGGGATGGGGTGAAGCAGGGAAGGGGATGGGGGGAAGCAGGGAAGGGGATGGGGTGAAGCAGGGAAGGGGATGGGGGGAAGCAGGGAAGGGGATGGGGGGAAGCAGGGAAGGGGATGGGGGGAAGCAGGGAAGGGGATGGGGGGAAGCAGGGAAGGGGATGGGGTGAAGCAGGGAAGGGGATGGGGGGAAGCAGGGAAGGGGATGGGGGGAAGCAGGGAAGGGGATGGGGGGAAGCAGGGAAGGGGATGGGGGGAAGCAGGGAAGGGGATGGGGGGAAGCAGGGAAGGGGATGGGGGGAAGCAGGGAAGGGGATGGGGGGAAGCAGGGAAAGGGACATGGGGATGCAGGGAAGGGGACACGGGGAAGCAGGGAAGGGGATGGGGGGAAGCGGGGAAGGGGATGGGGGGAAGCAGGGAAGGGGACACGGGGAAGCGGGGAAGGGGATGGGGGGAAGCAGGGAAAGGGACATGGGGAAGCAGGGAAGGGGATGGGGGGAAGCAGGGAAAGGGACATGGGGAAGCAGGGAAACGGACATGAGGAGGCAGGGAAGGGGATGGCGGGAAGCAGGGAAAGGGACATGGGGAAGCAGGGAAGGGGATGGGGGGAAGCAGGGAAGGGGATGGGGGGAAGCAGGGAAGGGGATGGGGGGAAGCAGGGAAGGGGACACGGGGAAGCAGGGAAAGGGACACGGGGAAGCAGGGAAGGGGACACGGGGAAGCTGGGAAGGGGATGGGGGGAAGCAGGGAAGGGGACACGGGGAAGCAGGGAAAGGGACATGGGGAAGCAGGGAAGGGGACACGGGGAAGCTGGGAAGGGGATGGGGGGAAGCAGGGAAGGGGATGGGGGGAAGCAGGGGAAGGGACATGGGGAAGCAGGGAAGGGAACACGGGGAAGCTGGGAAGGGGATGGGGGGAAGCAGGGAAGGGGATGGGGGGAAGCAGGGAAAGGGACATGGGGAAGCAGGGAAGGGGACACGGGGAAGCAGGGAAGGGAACACGGGGAAGCTGGGAAGGGGATGGGGGGAAGCAGGGAAGGGGATGGGGGGAAGCAGGGAAGGGGATGGGGGGAAGCAGGGAAAGGGACATGGGGAAGCAGGGAAGGGGACATGGGGAAGCAGGGAAGGGAATGGGGGAATATAAGGGAAGGGGATGGGGGCAAGCAGGGAAAGGGACATGGGGAAGTAGGGAGGGGGATGGGGGGAAGCAGAGAAGGGGATGGGGGGAAGCAGGGGAAGGGACATGGGGAAGCAGGGAAGGGAACACGGGGAAGCTGGGAAGGGGATGGGGGGAAGCAGGGAAGGGGATGGGGGGAAGCAGGGGAAGGGACATGGGGAAGCAGGGAAGGGAACACGGGGAAGCTGGGAAGGGGATGGGGGGAAGCTGGGAAGGGGATGGGGGGAAGCAGGGAAAGGGACATGGGGAAGCAGGGAAGGGGACACGGGGAAGCAGGGAAGGGGACACGGGGAAGCAGGGAAGGGAACACGGGGAAGCTGGGAAGGGGATGGGGGGAAGCAGGGAAGGGGATGGGGGGAAGCAGGGAAGGGGATGGGGGGAAGCAGGGAAAGGGACATGGGGAAGCAGGGAAGGGGACATGGGGAAGCAGGGAAGGGAATGGGGGAAAATAAGGGAAGGGGATGGGGGGAAGCAGGGAAAGGGACATGGGGAAGCAGGGAGGGGGATGGGGGGAAGCAGGGAAAGGGACGCGGGGAAGCAGGGAAGGGGATGGGGGGAAGCAGGGAATGGGATGGGGGAATATTAGGGAAGGGGATGGGGGGAAGAAGGGAAGGGGATGGGGGGAAGCAGGGAAAGGGACATGGGGAAGCAGGGAGGGGGACATGGGGAAGCAGGGAGGGGGGTGGGGGGAAGCAGAGAAGGGCGTGGGGGGAAGCAGGGACGGGGACAAAGGGGGGCAACGGACGGAAGGGGTCGCGACGAGGGGAAAGTATGGCGGCGGGTGGTTGGGAGGGCAATGGGAGGAAGGGAGGGCGACGAGACGAAGGGAGGGTGACGGGCGGAAGGGATGGCGACGGCGGAAGGGAGGGCGACGGGCGGAAGGTATGGCGACGGCGGAAGGGAGGGCGACGGGCGGAAGGCATGGCGACGGGCGACGGGCGGAAGGGATGGCGACGGCGGAAGGGAGGGCGACGGGCGGAAGGCATGGCGACGGGCGACGGGCGACGGGCGGAAGGGATGGTGACGGCGGAAGGGAGGGCGACGGGCGGAAGGCATGGCGACGGGCGACGGGCGGAAGGGATGGCGACGGCGGAAGGGAGGGCGACGGGCGGAAGGGAAGGTGACGGGCGGAAGGGAGGGCGACGGCGGAAGTGAGTGCGACGAGCGCTAGGGAGAGCGACGGGCAGTAGGGCGACGGCGGGAGGGAGTTTGATGGGCGTAAGAGAGTGCGACGGGCGGAAGGGAGTGCAGGAACGCAGAAGGGAGTGCGACGGGCGGAAGCGGGTGCGTCGAACGTACATGTGAGGCAAGCGCCCGATCCGTGCGCTTCGAACGTACATGCCTGCGCCATCGTCCCTATAGAAATGGGCGTGACGCATGACGTTTTTCTTTATGCTGGCTAGTATTATTTTTGTTGTTGGGAACAACAAACAGGCTGCTGCAATGCTACTGGCATCTCGCTGCCATTGTCTAAATGCGATCTTACGCGCTCTTGTGGTCCTGAACAGCGGAGCGCACTGCGTGTTTTAGACTCAATATGGCTGCACATTAGTACAACTTGGTTTTCAAGTTTACTGAATGTGAACAGTGGTCAAACTCTGGCTGACACTTCACGCGGAATACTTGTTCTGTCGCTGGCCAATCATGCATCAGAGTTGTGAAGCCTCTCCTTTGTGAGGCGACGGAAAGCTTCACTTCGGGGGGTAACCTGGTTTTTGGCGAGTTCATATTCAAGAATCTTGAATTTGAAAACAGCCATGTGGAACTCGGGCTTTAAAAGTTTGACCTGCGCGCCCTGCAATTTGGGACTCGAGCTTTAAATGTAAACCCTGGCATATCAGGAAAATCCTAGCTCCACAACAAAATTACCCTAAGCCATCAGTGTGACCACCAATAACCACCCTGATAATCAGGGTATCAGGGTGATTCCTCAAACAATAGATAACGACTTTTTATGTTTGGGGTGGCATCCGTCGCACAGCAGGTGTCTCACACATCCCCTCCGCCCCCGCAGTTCCAATAATTCACGCTCCGCTAAAAGGGGGGATGAGTCAATGTGAGCCGTGCGATTTCAATAAGTCACCCAGTAGGAAGAAATGAACAACTGTGAGCCGTGAGATTGAAAAGCAATGTGAGTTGTGCGCTTGCAATAATTCACTTCCGTGCTAGGACGGGAACTCCCTTCCTACTATCTATCCCAGGCAGGCCTGTCGAAGTTCCTGGGGCCCATACTTGGAGTCCCCAGCTCCTCCCTATCTGACCCTGTTTTGGCCGTAGCTGAGTGTTTTGGCGCCCTTAACGGTCACGGGCGCAGGCCAAAGTGAAAACTTGAAATCCGGGCTTGCACTTACACTATCTTAGCTAAGGGCGGGTCCAACTTTGCACATGATCGTTTTTTTCGTAAATTTAACGTCCATGCGCTCGTCAAATTTGACTGAACCCCAAGCGGTACTCAGAACAGTCTCTGTCCATATATTTCGGAGTGCTGACACGGTTCAAGAAGGAGCCATGATACAGTACCTGTTAGAGAGTTACCAAATAACGCATGAGATTGGCGCGACGACGAATCGCCAATTTCTACTTGTTGAGGCTAGTCGAATTAGTTGCGACTGACCTTTTGCGAAACGCTTGCGTTACTGTTCACCGTTCATGACGCAATACGGACTGCTGGACGAATTCACTGTGTGCCTTCGGACGTGTTCTGCGCGTCTCGGGGAACGTTTTTGAATTGCGTCGCCAGATGAACTGTTTCCAGTCAACTGCTTTGTAAAACGTAAAAAGTTCTGTTACAAGCGTAAATGTGGTAACTGTGCTGAAAATAAAACGAACATGTGCAAAGTTGGTCCCGCCCTAAGGGATAGTTCGGCTGCTCCAAAGCTGACTTAGAGATATCACAAACACGGGATTGGCTAGAAAATGCTAAGGGAAAAATCCCCTTGGCGTGCTCTCGTGCAACCTAAGGAGAAAGGGGGGGGGGGGGGGAAAGGGTGGGGTAGTCGGGCAGAATTTCTTGGGGGAGAGGGGGTGGTCCTAAAAACAGAAATCAAAACTTTGTGGGTGGGGAAGGCCCGGTTGGAGCACTTAACGCATCCGGGGAAGGGTCGAACGAAGCACTTAGTGGCACGGGTGCAGGGCGATCCTAACACTTTATGCAGTCGAGCTGGAGCAAAAGTAGCCCGGAATTTCAGGGCATTAAGGGCATATGCCCGTCAATCGACAGGCCTGATCCCAGGCCAGAACATAGGGCAAGATTGCTCGCAGTCCTGCATAATTCAAACATGCTCCAATCCCGTTGCTTCACTCAAGTTGCACCGTCGCTCACCAGCCAGAGCGACACCGCAGGCGACTGCCAGTCGCCCTGTTTCCGGCCTGCGCGGGCCTTCGCAATGCAGCACGCCACAGGATTGCGATTCAAAGCTAAGCTCGCATTTCAGCTCGCAACCCCCAAATGCATCAATAACTCCCTATCGCGCGGCGCCACCCGATCGCGTTCCTAGTGACTACTACTGGAATATCAGCCTCGGGCGGTGGGGAAGCGGCGGAAGTGTTCGCGGAACGCGCAGATGTAACGCCTGTGGGCTGTGTTAAGGGCACTCCGCTGCGCCAAATAACACCCTCGTTTTGACCCAGTGGGTAGCGAGGTGTTACATTTGGAATCAGAGCCTAGGGTTCGAATCCCGGCTGGACCACACTTTCCGCCTTTGGCGAGAACTGAAGTGCGGTTGTAACCAGCTCGAACCCAGCGAACGATCCTCCGCTGGCCTGAGCAACCAGCGAAGTCGCAGCCAGCAGCACTGCGAAATCTAGGTCCCAGCGGCAGGGGGCCGACTCCCTGAAGTCCGAGGCCAACGGGGACGTTGGCACCAGGGGGGGACGAGTGTAACGCCTGTGGGCTGTGTTAAGGGCACTCCGCTGCGCCAAATAACACCCTCGTTTTGACCCAGTGGGTAGCGAGGTGTTACAGCAGATGTCCCGCGCGCTCAGCCTCCTGCCGATGGGGGAGCGTCGAGCCTTGCATATATACCACCCGCCAGCAGCCATAAAAGCATTTTTTTTCGCCGCTTCTGTACCATGTCTATGCAGTGATGATAGTAACGCCAGCAGCTTACTCACCAATATACCTGCAGCTATACCTACCATCGCAACGCCTGCTATTGTCAATCTAATTCGAAATCGTCTTTCCTGACATTCCGCCACACATTGCGCCTCGCATTGCGCCACGAGCTGCGCGTCTCATTGTGCGTGACTCTCGCGTGCGACTACCGTCACCTGAGACTTCGTCGTGTGAGGTTCGACCCCGTCACCGGACTGCGTGCTGTACACCCCAGTACTAGCAGCGGCGCGCTTTGAGACTCCACAAAACAGTAGCAGCGGCAGCGGCGCGCTTTGTGACGCCCTTTGAACAGTGGCAGCGGCGCGCTCTGAGACGCCTTTTGAACAGTGGCAGCGGCGCGCTCTGAGACGCCTTTTGAACAGTGGCAGCGGCGCGCTCTGAGACGCCTTTTGAACAGTGGCAGCGGGGCTCTGCACAAGAATCACCCCACCTGACGTGGCAGCTTGTCCGTCATGACTTCCTCTCCTGCCGCGCTGTTTCCGCTCCTCGTCCTCGCCGTCATCTGCGGTGAGTCGCTCCTCTCTCCTCGCCCAATCATCTGCGGCGTCTTCGTTGTCTCTTCTCTTCTTGCATCCCAAGGAATTTTTCATTCTGTTTGTGTGTTTGTTCCGCGAATTTCTGAATATAACCCCCCACAAAAATCTAGTGGGGATACTTTATCGGCTCAGCGCAGTGGATGGTAAGCTCATCGCTCGATACAAAATGTGTTTCAAAAAGTGCATTAAAAAGTGCATCAAAAAGTGCATTAAAAAGTGCATTAATATAATAAGCGCCTGGATACTGCGTCTGAGAAGCAAGCACACTCTGCCCTCCTTTCTTCTCAACCCTCTGCTCCCTCTGCTCCCTCTGCTCCCTCTCACCCCTCTGCTCCCTCTCACCCCTCTTCTCCCTCTCACCCATTTGCTCCCTCTCACCCCTCTGCTCCCTCTCACCCCTCTGCTCCCTCTCACCCCTCTGCTCCCTCTCACCCCTCTGCTCCCTCTCACCCCTCTGCTTACTCTCTCCCTCCAGCGGCCGCCGTGGCTCACGTGGCAGCAGACCAAGGCGGCGCAGTGGACGCAAGGGTCCACGTGGCAACGGTGATCACAATGCCGGGCGTGAGCGTCCCCATCAGCTTCGACGCCCTCCGCTGCTTCGGCCTTCCCCGGGCGGCGCGCAAGGCGGCGGGTGACGTGCAGGTGTGGTGGCACGGGCTCACGGGCGGCGGCACGGGCGGCAACGGTGGGGGTGCGGCGTGCAAGCAGCTGCGGTTCTTTGCCAACCCGGCCTGCAAGGGCAAGGCGCTGGATGAGGTGCTGCAGCCACAGTTTGCTGCCCTGCGGAAATTCTTCCACGTGCCCAGGTGGGCCTTGGGAGCAGGGTCTGTGCTTGAATGGGGCGGGGGTTATGGGTTATTGGTTACGTGCCCAAGTGTGTGGGTGATGGGTTACGCGGCCTGTAGTGACAGGTGAGCTATGGGTGTGGCTTTTGAGGCGCCTCAAAAGGTTTTTTTTTCTAGGCGCCTCAAAAGTTTTTTTTTTGAGGCGCCTCAAAAGTTACGTGCCCAAGTGTGTGGGTGATGGGTTACGCGGCCTGTAGTGACAGGTGAGCTATGGGTGTGGGGCAGGTGCACGTTGGGGGCAGGGGAGTGGGTGTACTTCGGTGAGTGTTCCAGTCGTCTTATCTGAATGTGTTCGTGCAATCTTATCTGAATTTATTCCTGACGTCTCATCTGAATTTATTCCTGACGTCTCATCTGAATTTATTTCTGACGTCCCTGCGTGCAGCTCAAAAAGGATTTCTCGATGGGCTTCTGTCTCCTGCAAGACTGGTGCGTGCCTCGCCTCCTTGCCTCCTTGCCTCCTTGCCTCCTTGCCTCCTTGCCTCCTTGCCTCCTTGCCTCCTTGCCCCCTTGCCTCCTTGCCTCCTTGCCTCCTTGCCCCCTTGCCTCCTTGCCTCCTTGCCTCCTTGCCCCCTTGCCTCCTTGCCTCCTTGCCCCCTTGCCTCCTTGCCTCCTTGCCTCCTTGCCTCCTTGCCTCCTTGCCTCCTTGCCCCCTTGCCTCCTTGCCTCCTTGCCTCCTTGCCTCCTTGCCTCCTTGCCTCCTTGCCTCTTTGCCTCCTCGCCTCCTTGTCTCCTTGCCTCCTTGCCTCCTTGCCTCCTCTCCTCCTCGCCTCCTCGCCTCCTCGCCACCATGTTGCATTGCCTCCTTGCATCCCTAACGCACACATCTCATCCCTTCCATGAGAGAAGGAGCTTC